GGCATCCACGCACTGCCCCGGGCATCCCTGCGCCGCCCTAGGCATCCCTGCCAGTCCTGGGCATCCAGACTCCTGCCCCACTGCACCCTGTGTCTGCCCCAGCCACTCTTTATGTGTCCCCCTCCACCCCCCTGCATAGCCCTGGGCTGTGCTGCCCCGGCACATCCCACAGCAGCTGGAGCATCCCATGCCCTCCAGCCCCGGCATCTTTCCCCCTGGCCAGGGGAGCAGCCTCTGCCTCTTCTGCTGCTCCACAGCGCCAGGCTGGTCCAGGGAGGATTCACCAGGTACCAGTACGGGTTGCTCCATCCCAGTCTCAGCCCTGGGCCCAGGCGCAGCCCTGCCACCCGTCCACCCCCTGCCATGCACCGGGCTGCAGGCTCAGCTGCCACAGCCCCGTAGGCCCCAACAGCATCATGCAGCAAGGCCCAGCACCTCTGTCATTCCCTTTTCCTCCTGGCGTGCCCCTTTCCAGCATGGGGATATCTTCTCCTGCGCAAGGCCTTCTGGCAAGACCTGCCTCTCCAGCCTGCCTCTGCCCATGGCGCGGCTACCTCTCTGTTTCAGTCCTGTCTGACGGGATCATAGAAAACAATTGAAACAGGGCATGGATTTGGGTCCTGATGGATGTGTCTGGTCTCTGCATCTCTCTGCCATAGTCAAGGCAGCATCAGCTGCAATGCCTGATCGAAGAGGAGGACGCGCAGTTACCAGCAGACACCTCCACGCTTTCCAATGCGGGCAAGGGGAGCTGGGCTTTGCCTCCCTTCCGCTCCCAGAGCTGCAACCCAGATCCTACCCAGGCTCTGCAGATCAGCCACTGCTTCCCATTTAAGATGTTCATGGGGCAGCATGCGAAGGGCAGGCATTTATTTTGGCTTTCCTGCACGCCACCAGCACGCGCACTGAGTCAGTGGATGTGCAGCCACAGGGAGATCCCCTCACTCTGACACAGATTGAGCTTCACCTGCCCCAGCACGTTCCGACTGCCACTGTAGAGCAGGTTGGAGCTTTCCTGCCTGTCCTGCCCCACTCCCTCTCCAAGGAACTGCTCACTGGTTGTCAGCAGCCTGACTGATTTTGTTGCTGGCCTCTTATACACAAGGGTGAGCTGCACACTGCCACCCCCTATGCCCTTGAGCAGACAACACGGTCCAGCGCCCCAGGGGACAGATGCACAACCCTGCCCCGTGCCCATCAGGGTTCATCAGCCCTGAGAAACATCATGAAGGGGCTCTTGGACCAGTGCTGGGCTGCCCCACAGCAGGCAGGGCTCCTGGCATGGTTCCCCATGTCCTGCTGCCCAGCAAAACCAGCACAGGATGGGGTCATGGTGCACAGCTGGGGTGGTGCCTTGTGGCCCACTCTCCCCACCACTAGCATTGCACAGGGAGTCGGGGACTTGTGGAGCTGCTCCGCTCCCAGCTTCAGCTGCTTGAGTGGGCAGCGATTGACTTTCTTGCACAACCACAACAGCACTTCCAATGGTGCCTGATAAGCTGCCTTTGCCCAGGTCCATGGGGACCACCTGTGCCAGGCTCCTAGGTAGGGTGGTGCATGGGACATGACCTACTCTTGTCCACCCATCACCCGACCCTGCCAAGCATTGTGCAACATTGGGCTTCTCCCCACATGCTGGGTACACACTGTGTAGCATTGCCTGCATGTGCCACCCATGGACCCTGCCCAGGCACCTCTTGGGGCTGGCCCCCAGCCCCAGGCAGCCCAGCATCAAACACACACAACGCACCCCACACTGGTGGCCACAGAGGAGCATCTGCGTGCGTTGCTCAATGGGCAGCATGTAATAAAATCCCCCTGGTCACCTCGGGCTCTGTCACAAGAAGCATTTAGCCAAAGCTCGGAGAAGGAGCAGAAGGGCTGGAAGCTGTCAGACCTGCTTAAAACCACCGCAGCTCAGTGCTAATGTGCAGCACAGCAGCAGCGGCTGGAAGGCACAGAGCCAGGCTGGGCAGAAGGCAGCTCCCCAAACATAGCCCATGCTGTGACCAGGTCTTGCCCCAGGCTCCACCTGTCCCCACAGCCTCCTGCACCCACTGGAAACCTCTGGGGAGCCAGGGAGTCTTGTGGCACCTTGGACACTGGCAGCCCTGGGTCTGTCACCACAATGAACCTCTGGCATCCTGCTCATCCCACACAGCCCTGGCCTGCCAGCAGCTGGCACAGCTGCAGGAAGCCTTTCGTGGAAAGAAAAAAGCAGGGGCAGCCCAGTTGCTGGGCCATGCAATAAAGCAGGGTCCCCTGGCAGCAGGCACCTGGCCTCAGGGAGGGACAAGCTGTCCAGTTTCCCCCAGGGAGGCAGGGTGGTCCCTGGGGCTTTCACCAGATGCCTGGGCCCCTGAGAGCACAAAGCAGGAGGTCAGCACCCAACTCCATGCTCTGCTGCTGCAGCCCTGTCACAGCTGCCATGCAAGTGGCATCGTACTGCACCCCTGCCTATGGCTGTGCTGCCTTCTGCCATCCCACTCCAGCTGCTGCCGAGAGCTGCCCTCCTCCCACCTCAGGTTCGCCAGCGATGCAGAAGACAGCATCCAAGAAGCTCAGCTGCTTCCCAGGGCCGGCAGAGAGGTCTGCCAGCCATGGCCACACATGCCTGGAAGAAGGGCTTATTCTGCCCAGAGACGTCACCCAGCTCCCCCAGGCTGTGGCTCTGATGGCCCCAATGCAGTCCCTGCCCCCACCCCAGGCAGGATAAGGGGGAGCATAGCTCTCCTCCTGCCCCAGCCACGGATCCCTGAGAGCAGGAGGCAGATGGCACAGCCATGGCCATGAGCAGGTCTTCCACCTCTAGGGTCACCCAGCACAGGCTGCGGGCAAGCAGAGCCCCTGGCACTAGGCCTCCCCTGGGGCAGGAGGGGACAGGGGAACCTAACGGCCAGCCCAAAGCTGCTCCCCAGCCTGACTCTCATGGAAGGGGACAAGCAGAGACGCACAGAGGAAGCAGCCCTGCACACCCATCTGCCCTCATCAACAAGGGAGCCCATCTCCATGAGGCCAGTAACACCTTCCAACCTACCTGCAACAACATGGCAGGAGCCTGGCACAGGGGCACGGGCCGTGGAGTTTGGGGATGAGCAGGGCCCAGGTTGGGTACAGGGCCAGGCAGTCCACACAGCTGTCCCCCCCGAAAGTGGCCACGCACCTGCTCCTGGGGAGGAAAGGGCTCAGCCCCAGTTCTTGGGGCAGCAGACACAGGCACTTAGCCAGCACATGGGGCACTGCCCTGGGTCACTGACATCCTTCCCTGTAGTCCAAGCACAGCGGAGGACTAGAGCCCAACACCCTCCCACCTCTCCACTCCCTAAGCTTGCCTTCTTGCTATGTTTATTTGCCCTTAGATTAAGATCAAGTGCAGCTCCTTCATGAGTCCCTGCAAGTCTCACCCTATCCCACATGGATGGGACAGAAGGCAGACATTGGTCAAGAAAAACTACCAGAGGGACCACAGGTCAAATGATCCACAAACAAATTGCTGAGGAAGAACCAAAGAGAGAAGAAAGATGCTGGTGATGGCAATTTCCAGGTTCAACAGACAGCA